TAGGGGGGTAGCGGTGCGGGGGTAACGGGGCCCCCCGCGGGTACAGCGGGGGTCTCCCGGCCGTGCCCCCCACCCCGCGGCAGCGCTCGGGGATTAGGCTCGCTGCTGCCGTAAATAGGCCGCGCACGGGGCTTTACCGAGCGTCAGGGCAAAGCGGCTTACGGGACTCGGAGAGAACCGGCGGGGGGGCCGGGCGGGCCGGGCGGGCAGCACCCCCGCAACCCCGTGATGCGGGATCAGCTGCACCCCCGCAACAACCCCGCCCGCAGGCCCGTGGGCATCCCTGCGCCCCCAAAATCCCGCCCGCACGCCGTGCTGCCGGCTCCCCTGCGCCCCTAAAAAAACCCCGGCGGGCACCCCCGTGATGGACGCCGAGCCCCCCGTCCCCCGCCGCATCCCCGCAATCCGCCGTGCGGGCACTCCCGCACCCCCGTGCTGCGGTGCCCCCGAGCCCCTCCGCACAGCCCGTGCCGCATGCAGCGTGCCCGCACCCCCGAACCCCGCTCGGGGTGGTCTCCCATGCCGTGCCCCCTCTCTGCCCCCCGAAATACGCGGTGTCGGTGATAATAATTAAAGAAGCTTATTTAAGAGACGTTTTGGTTTTGGAATTTCCCCTCCCCCCCCCCCCGCCCTGTCCCGCCCGCCCGGGGCCGCGGGGCCGTCACGAGGCCGCCGTGGTTGCGCCACCGGCCGGCGCTGCCCGTTGGCCGGGCCGGGGCCGCTGCGGCACCCGGGACCAGCGGCGATACCGCCGGAACAGCGGTACCGACGGCACGGGGGTCCGTCAGTACTGGGGTACCGACAGCACAGCGGTACCGACGGCACGGGGGTACCGACAGCACGGGGGTACCGTCAGCACGGGGGTACCGTCAGTACTGGGGTACCGACAGCTCAGCGGTACCGTCAGCACGGGGGTACCGTCAGTACTGGGGTACCGACAGCTCAGCGGTACCGTCAGCACGGGGGTAGAGACGGCACGGGGGTACCGTCAGTACAGCGGTACCGTCAGCTCAGCGGTACCGTCAGCTCAGCGGTACCGTCGGTACAGCGGCACTGTGCCGGTACCGTGCCCGTACCGCGATCCCCCCGCACGGTGCAGCCCCCGCTCCCGCAGAGCCCGGTTTTGTAACCGCGCTCCGGGAGCGGGGGCGGTCCCGGCGGGGCCGGGCCTAGGCCTGGAGCCGGGCCTGGCAGGACGCCGCCGCCGCCGCTGCCGGTGACGGCCCAGCGAGGCACTGAAGCGGCGGCGGAGCTCTCCCGGCACCGCTGCCGGTATTCCCGGTAGGAGCCGGTGCCTCACAGCGATCCCGGCCGTGGCCGGGCCCACAACGCGCGGCCCGGTCCCGCTCATCCCCCCCGCCCCCGGGGGGGGGGGGTGTTGCCATGGCAACGGCCGCGCCGCCGCCATCTTGTGCGGGCGGGGGGAGCAGGACGGGACCCCCCCCATGGCGATGGCCGCGAGGGGCTAATGGCCATGGGGGGGGTCATAGCCATGAGGGCTGGTGGCCATGGAGGGGCTGGTGGCCATCAGGGCCCGATTGCTGCAGTGGGTGCTGACTGGGGGTGACACCACCATGTCTGACCCCCTGTCCCCCTCCCCACAGCACGAAGGCGGCCGCAGCCTGCAGGAGGACACCATGTCCCACGAGAAGAGTTTCCTGGTGACCAGCGACGGCTTCGGGGGCCAGCAGCCCCCGCCGGGACCCCCAGCCTACCCCCAGGCCCCCTACCCCGTGGCCCCTTACCCCCAGCCCCAGTTTGCCCCCACGCCTTACCCCCAGCCTGGCTTCACGCAGGCCCCGGGGCCGTACCCGCCACCGGGCCCGTACGCCCCTGCCGGCCCGTACCCCCCCGGGCCGTACCCCCCGCCCGGGCCCTACCCACAGGGCCCCTATGCCCAGCCCCCCTATGCCCAGCCCCAGCCCATGGTCCCTGGCGACCAGGACTGTGAGTACCGGCAATGGGGGGGGTGGGCTTGGGGGGGTGTGC